AGGCCCAGGTCGGTCCACCGCTGCACCCCCTCTGCCATGGCGATGTCGGTGCCATGGAGGTGGTCCGGAAGGAGACGTTCTACGTGGGGCAGGACGCTGTGGACCGACGCTAAAAAGCACGGTATCGCCACATCCACAGCGTGCCCGACCCCCAGGCCGCCTTCCTTCACGGGGAGGGAGGACTGTATCCATGCAGCCTCCGAGAGGGTACAGTTGAGGAACCCTTCCAGGGCGTCCTTTAGCGTGGCGTCGTAGTGGACGAGGCGTCCAGCTTTCTCCAAGATGGGGCGCAGCGGAGAAAGTAAATCAGACGAGGGATGGAAATCGACGCCCGCAGGAGGAAGAAGGCCGAATGAGCCGAAAGGTTGAGGAGTCGATGGGAGAAGGTGGTCAATTGCTGCGTCTTCGTGGCCAAGACCACTCCCAAAGCTTCGTTGGTTAGGGGGGCGCCCAGCAGCATCGCGGATTCAGGGGACATCAGCTGGATTCCGGGGGCAACTTGTTGGAATTGGAGGAGAATGTCGATGGCGGTGTCTCGCTCCGCCCCCAGGATCCCCACTTCACACTTGTCGTGGTTGAGATGCAGGCCCACCTCACCACTCATCCTAGCAATGGTTGCCAGGGCCGTCAGGACCTTCTCCGGTGTGTCCCCGATGGCCCCATCGTCGAGGTACCATAAGTTTAACTCCATTTCCATTGCTTCGACGATGGGGTGGATTACGAGGGAGAAGAGGGCGGGGCCTAAGGGGTCGCCCTGATGGCACCCAAGGAGGGAGGGGATGGGAATTGTCCCATAAAAAAGCGACGATGGGTTTTCGTAGCATTGCGCTACAAATGGGAAGATTGAGGGGAAGAGGTCGCGGACGGCGTGGAGTAGCGTGTCCCGCCGTATTTCGTTGAAGGCGTTCCTGAAGTCAATTTTCAGGAACGCTTTGGGGGAAGTGTGGGTGTGGCCGTAGTAGATTCTGGCGGCGTGGGCGCCGATTTCCGCTCCTCCCTTGATCCCCACCCCCAATTGGTGGGGGAAAAAATGTTTGATTAATTGGGGAGTAATTCTCCCCACGACGATCTTCGCGGCCAAGCGCCGCCACGCATTCCCCACGGCGATGGGACGGATCCCGCCCGACTTCTTTTTTAACGCCGTGAGGGAGGCTCCGTAAAAAAGCGGGCAAAAAGTTGGCGGGACTCCCCCGGAAAGGACCTTGTAGAGGAAGGTCCGCATTGCTTCGGCGAGTTGGTCGCCCCCCTCTCCTTGACTGCACCCCAGGAGATCCTTCAAGATCTGGGGTCTCATCCCGTCCAGTCCCCCCGCGGACCCTGGCGGAAAAGAGGAAATAGCCCGGAGCAGCTCTTCATCCAAAACCGGGGCAATGGCAGGAGCCTCAAGTGGTGGAGGAAAGTTGACTGGTTGTGGGTGGGCTGGGTGTTTTGTGAGAAGGGCAGAAAGGGTGTGGTCGTCGGACGGAGCAATGGTGTCGTCGGAGCATGCGAGGCGGATTGCTCCCCGAATGTCACCATCTGCCAGCTTGGCCTCCACCTTTTTCGCCGTCATGTCGAGTGGGGGTTTTTTAGAGGGTGGGCGTGGTGGGAGGGGCCGAGGGATTGAGAAGCCACCCACCCACCCCGTAGTATGATCCTTGACCCAGGTTGTCAAGTTCTTGATGCGATCTGACTTCTGTGGGACTGGGAGTGTTGCATAGGGAAAGAGGAGCAACTTTCCCCAGCTTTCTTCGTCGTCCGATTCCGTCACTTGCTGCAGAATTGTGGCGAGGCACTGCGCCACAGACCTTCTTGCGCCGCGGGGGACTCTTCGCAAAGTGGGCGTGGTGGTCTTGAGGCGGGCGAGAATTTCTCCCCAATCGTCGCGTTGTTGTTGTTGTTGAGGTGAAGGTGGAGGTGCATCCACCCACTGGATACCCTCAAAACAGTTGTGGAGGCCACCCCTGGCTCCAACGCGACGGGTGATGGTGTCAGCTCGACGGGTGATGGTGTCAGATATTTATACATCAACCTTGTTGCAAGAATTAGGTGTCATGTGCATAAGTCGCGTCTTTCTTACATAAAAGACATATCAATGAAAATATTATCGCTCTCCATATTTGGTTTTAACCAAATTTAAACCTGCCCATGAAAATATGAATTTGCTTTATATGTAAGTGACACAAGTCTGTCTAAAAAGAGTAAATATATGAAAAGTGAGTCACAATTAAGTATGTGTATGCCCACACCGTGCTAAAAATACAGCCCTATTCCAAGAAACTTATGTATATTTGGAATTCCGCAGTTGAGAAAGGTTTCCGATTTTCTAGAAAACCGGTTTAATATTTTACCCAGGAATATGTAGGTATGGTAAAAAACGGGTTTTATTATACTTGACAACCGGTTATCGGTGTTTATAAAAATTGTTGCGGAGTTACATACATAAATTTACCGCATCTTGGTTTTCATGTTAAAAATAATTGTATGTACTGATTTTTTTCAACTCAATCCTTACTTCTTAAACTTCAAATTTTACAAGAATATATTAACAAAATTTTCTAAACTTGGAGTGAAACAGGTCGAACACAAGTTTTTGGGAATCCCATAAATCGGTTAGGAAAATTTCTAAAACCAACTAGAAAACTGATAACCTATTCGGATAAAATTAATAATCAGTTTTTCAGAATCTGGCAGTTTTGGATAGTTGGGAAACTGCAAAAAGCGTGGCAAATTTGATTTAATGGTACCATATTTTTTACCAAAGGGCACATTTAATGCATTAAAGGTGCCCTTTTTGTTCCGAGTATGAACCCAAAGCGGGGTGGGTTCAAAAACCTGTAACTAAATGGGGTCCACATTTTATTCGCGATTCCAGTTTCCTAGTATGATATATTTACATAAATTGTGTGACCATTTATCCCGGATATTTTGCACTATTGGTGCGTTTTGCATCCCCTCTCCCAATTATTTCGCATCATTTTGTGTTACCGATTGTTAGATATCAACGGTGCTATTAATTTATTAAAAAATTCGATTCGGTTTGTTCAATACCAATGGTGCGCCTAACTTATTAATAATGGCCAAGGGGGTTTTTAAATAGCATCAATTGATGCAGAAAACTCGTTAACAAACGGACAGACGGACAGACGGACAGACAGACGGACAAGAGGAATTCTATAGCTCCCGTGCTACGCAGGGTGAGCTAATAATTGACCACACCTAAAATTTTGTATTATGAGTGCGAAGATATGTAAATTTTCCGCATGATAAACTGTATAAGTTTTACCCTTTTGTACTAAATTCCAGGCTAACGGACGTAGACATCGTTCGTCAAATCCTTATCAACCAAGTCCAGGAAGTGAAAGACGCCCCAGATTTTCAAACACTCCCGCTCAATCATCCAAATACCCGCGGCGTGATGTTACACAAACTCGGAGAGCGACTAAACTTGTACTTCACCTTGCGGAAAATGCGCTACAACTTCCTCATCTACAATATGGACTTGGATTACAAATTTGCACAAATGCGGGGACAAGTCGGATATTTGTCGTAAGTTTACTTTTTAGAAAATACTAAAATTTCATAAAATCCCATAAAAATGCTTCATGTATGCTTGCGGGCTCTTACATAGTTTGAAGTATTGTATCTCAACTTCCCTTCTTCCATATATATTTAAATTAAGTTTTTTAAACTGTTCATAATGTTGGATGTTTTCAAAATTAAGGATTTATTGCATCAAAAAATCAAGAATTTTTAGAGTCACAATGCTAGGAGGCTAGAATTTTGATTTATTTATTCAATGAGAAAGTATGTAATATTTACTCATTATTTTTGATCTATTTTATATTTAGTTTCTTATGGAAGATAAAATTCGAAACTCTAAGATCCTAACTTTTTAAGTCTAAAAATTTTTGATGTAATTAAACCCTCGTTTAGCAAAAAAACGCACTGAGGTGAACAGGTTTCAAAATTATCAAAATTTGAATCTGCATTTAGAAGAAAGGAAAACTGAAACAAATTTAAATTCAAAACCTGCATGCATTGGGACCTTAAACTTTTTGAAAAATCTTGACCTCCATACCTTCACAAATAACACGGTCATTTTTTGTTACAGTTTTGGCCTGGGATCCTCACGGTATGGAATTTGGGTTTTTAAAACATTTACCGGAGGTTATGATGCATCCAACTTTATCTGCGGAGGATACAACAGTGACCATGATCGAGTGCAGAAGAAATATGCACGAGCACAGGGTCGTTTTCGGAGTACCAGCTCCAGATGAAGATGCAAATGAGGAGGTGAATAATGAATGTTTGAATTAGTTGTCATGTTTTTAATTTTTTTGGAACAAACTCTGCTTTTTTGGGCAGAAACTTATTCGGTTTTATTGGAGTTTAACTTGAGCACGTGAAAACGTAACTGTTAGAAAATTAATGGTATATGTTAGTAACTCTACCCAAGCCAGAACTCGTGTCCAGAAAACAAACGTTCATAACTGATTATTTGTAATTCAGAAATTTACAAGGGTGTTACCTGAGCTAAAATTTTGTATGGAAATAATAAAATCCAAATATTGTGCAAATTTTATGATCGAAGTTTGAACAAGCTGAACGTGTCATATTTAATATTTTTGTTAGAAATTTATGTACGATATACATACCTATGTAAATAAATATTTATGAAAATGAATGAAAAAATGGGAAAAAAGCAAAAAAAAATGAACCAGTTGATTAATATGAATACCCCTTTGACTATTATCCTGAAATATAGATCTACATACATACATAGTTGTGATACGATTGTTACCGATGGAAGTATGTACTATGCAATTCTACCGTATGGTACATAACACTATAGTACCATGTATTCGCACCTTATTTGCATAAATCTCACTACGCCTATTTTCGGCGATATGGCTTTCAATTCTGAATAGACTATATATAAATATGTCTCTCGTGAATGCATCAAAATATGGAAATGAGGTGACTAGCACAAATAATTCCAACACAAATACATACATAGCTCTGTTTCTAACTTTGAACAAAATTGGGTCCATCTTTTCAGATTAAGTCCACATATTTTCATACAAGGTAAGGGTATCATTAGGAATTTCTGAAATTTACAATTGTTGAAAATTTATCATTTGGATATATTCGTATTCTATTCTAATGAAATTATATTCGACCGATTGAAGGGAGCAAAGTGATCTAAGTAATTTTTAATGTTGCCAGTAAATAATGTTAGCAACACACAGAATAATAGACACCACTTGGACCTTGTTTATTAATATTTATCATTCATTCTTGTGCGTGTCATCGTTAATTATATGTAATAGAGTACGCGCTTAGGATTATTTTATTAAGCTCGTTCCCAAATCCTGACGGCGGTATTTCTTGGTCGACTTTCCGCTCCAGAGTTTCGAAATCGCAAAGCCTCACGAGAAGTCCAAGTAGGAGCAATTGCACCTGCTTCTACATAATCCGAGTAGCCACTGGCTGGAACAGTAATTACATCAGGGGGATTAAACCCATTACCCGGGTGATAGGATAATTCTACTTGGACCAAATGGTTATCACTTTGTTCTTGAACGGTGCCAAAACTATCAGAAGTTCCTCCTTCCGCTCGGAAAAAGAGTCCTGCAAATTCCCCGGTAACATTTCTCCAAATCAAGTTTGGCCACAGCTCCTGAGGTGAAGGGCGGTCCGGTAGTTGAACACGTTCAACTACCAATAAAAATATAAAAATATAAAAGTATAAAAATCCAATTGGAACTATGCATAGGGAAAGTTTCGTCACAAGTTCAATAAAACTGTAAGCATACCTGTTCACCTTCATTCATTGGAATGATTAGTGAATGAAAATGAATTACTTATCATTTATTTGAGTAAAAATGATAGAAGGATTCTGTCATTCCAGTTGAATGATGTGAACGACCAGATTTTTTACTCATTTCATTTTTCACTCCATGCTCAATGAGATGCGAAGCCCGTTGAAGTGAAATGCAATGAATTGAAAAGAGTATGACTGAATGTAAATGAAAATCTTCAGTCATAAATCGGAAATGAATTTTGAATGAAAAATAAATTTTTGACCAGCTACATAACTGTAACATATTACCCGGATTATCTCGCAAGTTGAAGACAATATCTTGCAATTCTGGGACGGTTAACATCGGCTTCTTTTCGCAAACCACTACATTGCGTTTCGTGCAAGGAACATCTCTCCAAAGTCCATCATCCGTTGCGGTAATTACTCTCTGAGCTTTGGGACTTATTTGCATGCAACCATTTGCAGAGTCGTTTGTTGGGTATCCCACATCCCAATTGGTCATGGACATGTGGTCTCCATCCCTCCAGACGAAGGTCGTCTCATTGTAGCGATCTCCGTTGAGCCATACGCTGTCGAAAATGTCGCTCTCGTTAAATATCCAGTTTGTAATGAATTCCTGTTCAGTTGGGGATTTGATGGACACGATTTGTGGAATGTTGTAAGATCCAACGGCGAGATTAGCGCATGTTATCGCTGCATTTTCTCGGGTTAATAATTCATCGACTAGTTGCAGACATTTGCTGTCTTCAAATTGCGTCCAGGTCGCGTCCCCACATTCCACGGCATCTATTTTTTTAAATTAGAAAATTGGATTTTAGTACAAATAAGTTATAATTTTATGTTTTTTTGGTTGAAAGTATATTACCCGACGGTATTGCTGCCTGTATGGTGACTAATGTCACTACAACAAAACTCGAAAAGAACCCCATTTTAAGAGAGTTAGTTAAGGCTATTATCAGAAAAATTTCTCAAACTAGTATTGTACAAACTAAACGTTTAAACTGCTTTATATACAAAATGATAAGGTTTTTAATGCGTCAATCGTTTTTCAATTTTCGTCATTTTTCAGTATGTCGATAAGGTCTATTAAAATAACTGATCGTATAATTTGTCCTTGTTTCTGGACATCCTCTGAGTAACAGATAAAAACCCTCGTAGTAAAGACTTTGCACGGCCCGAGTCAATTTGAAAGAACTCTGTTCAACTGTTCTGACTCTGTCGTGATTCCGGACGTACCGACATAACAGTCCCACAAGCTTAAACGGTTGCAAAATATATAGCCGAATAACGTCACGTAATTGCGGCAGATAGCATACAAAAGGAAATTGGTCGCATCAAACTGGGCCACCAAACCACTTTCCAATTGCTCCAAAAACCTGTGAACGTCACATGAAACATCGGTGAACATTTTGTATTCCATCATAAACATGTTAAAATTTAATTTAATTGATTTTAATTATTAGCAAAAAGGTTTGACCGACCAGTTTGAAGCGATAAGCGATTTCCTTTATTATGTGTTTATCTGCCGCAATTATGTACGTGGCATAAGCCAAGGGCCTATTACTGAGAATTTAGAGTATGTATTTGTTATGCGGTTCTATAATCTCGGATAAATCAAGTCAATTTCTTTTGCTATTTATATGTCAATTTGCTCGTACTCTTGTAGTGCTCAGAATTTTGTAAATTAAGAATACAGTAGTTTTGGAGGCAAGTGCAATATGAATTTGTATATAAAAATACAAATAAAAATATACTAACTAATATTCTAACTTCCTTGTAATGAATTTTGGTAAACACTTTTACTGCTACTGGAAAATCTATGTTTACAAACCGTTCGGTAACAAACGAGTATGCATTTTTATTACCACCGTTCCAAGAGTTTGGGAACAAATTCGAACAATATTGTTGTATAAATTGTTTGCTAACATACATGAGAATAGTGTGTAAAATTTTCAGATTTGTCAGAGTAGCCATGCCAAAGAAACTTCCACTTGAGTAGAAAACCCCGTTTTCACGGTTTCCGGACTTAAATACTCCTCCCACTGAATCAGAATTTTTTTTGCTGAAAAAAATCATCATAAGGCAAACAACAATAGTAAACAATGCTCATTGTATTGAAAATGGACGTTCTGCACGATCAAAGGCTTGGAAATCCCCATCAAAAGGGATCCTCAACGTAAATCAAATGGGGAAAGGAATTTTAAAAAAATCGTAAAAAATATATAGTAGGTCAAAAGTCAAACTTTATTGCAGGTTTGGATGAAGGGATGATTTATGTATAAAACCTCACCTCAATGTAACAGTTTGTTATACAAAGAGAGGCCAAAATAGTTGGGAAGATTGGGCAGGTCACAAGGACAACTTTTTGTACAAGCACGTGGTAGTGGGGACAATCTCCGGTCGTGGGGTCATATCGTTGCTCCGAATTCAAAAAAAAGGTCACTTCCAACTCAGGCTAGTATATGAACAAAGTTTTAAAGCCATCAGTGAACATTCATGTTCCACCTATTTATGTATAGAAGGTTGCGATTCATCATGCCAAAGCTTCCTCGTATATGCCCTACAAAATGACCAGCTTTTCAGCGGAAATAAGGATGACACACCAATTCATAATTTTGCCAAGTGAACAAATGCCAGTTACGTCCTCGACATAAGCCTAGTACTCAGGACGAATGTTCACGCGGAATTTCATCGTGCTTAAATTCTGTTAAATTTTTCGCTGGAGAGAAATTCGTAAGCGGGCAGAAAATACCACTATTCCACGTATATTTCGCTCAATTTTCACAATAGGTACTCAGGTCATTTGAGCTGAAAAACAGGTTTCATTTTGCCCCATTTTAAATTAACCGCCTTGCCATTGAGTTGAAACTGAGATTTTGAGGTTGCTCCGCCCTCTTATTTTGAACTCAGAGGGCCGCGAGTCACTTTCCGCTCACATTTCACGTGAAAGAATTGCCTCGATTTAAAGGAAACTTTGAGCTTACATTGAGCGTAAACTGTTCGCGCGGAAAATTCCGCACAAGTTTCACGCGAAGACCTGAGTACCACTCGGGCTTAAATTGAGCAGAATTTCTGCAAAAGTCGTTTTCCGCGCGTAAAGTCCATCGTGAGTACTAAGCTATAAGTCAGAAGGTTTTTTTCGGTTTCGAGTACCTTAAACAGGGGCTTATGCAATATGTGTAAAGTTTGATGAAGATTTTTTTTACGAAGTCTGGTTTATTTTTTACTCATTTAACACACAAGTTTAACACACAAGTTTGTACATAAAAAACGTAAGAGCACTTTCAGGCCCTGCAAAAGCAGTTTAGAGTTTCCCCACTTTTAGAATAGGTGACGATTTCCATCAGCTATCGCCGGTAAAAAAGGTCATATTTTATTTTCTGCTGTTTTAGCTCAAAAACCTGCTCAGCAGGTCCGAACTATTCGATTAAGACAGTTTTTAAAATTTCCACGTCCTCCTCCGTCTAATGGTATGGGGGAAAGCACTACCTTTTTTGACAAAACTTGCCAACTTTCTCCCTCGATTGTGAAGCAACCAGTAGGCCCACGGCGGTCAAACTTCGCATGGACAATCCCCGGGGTATGCTTTTGGGTCATCCTGAAGCGCTAGGCCCTACCCGTACTCCTTGACCTCAAAATGACATGAGGTCAAGTTACAAAGTTGGCTCATCCATCACCATTTTTTAAATAGCTCGCATTTCAACAATCCCCGATAGATTGTCTTCATATTTGATAAAAACTGATCAGACTGACTTGTACTATCAGATTCGTTAAGGATTTTTAAATTTTTCCAAGGTCAACAAGTTTTTCGCACAAACGAAAAAGGTCACCAGGCAAAGTCTCACATAACCCCACAAGTGGGGTATCGTTGGAAAGGTCTTGGTGGGAGGATTCAGAATATATATACTTTATGGGGTCTGGGACCACCCCCAGATTTTATAGAGACCGATGAGTATCATTGAGTTTTGGTTTTCCGTGCATGCAGACGTTTACACAGGAGCAGATTGAGAGCTAACACAGCAGTGGATTGAGGAAAACTCAATAAAATTCCTCGCTCGCTATAAAATCTGGGGGTGATCCCAGACCTCATAAAGTATATATATTCTGAATCCTCCCACCAAGACCTTTCCAACGATACCCCACTTATGGGGTTATATGAGACTTTGCCTGGTGACCTTTTTCGTTTGCGCGAAAAACTTGTTGACCTTGGAAAAATTTAAAAATCCTTAACGAATCTGATAGTACAAGTCAGTCTGATCAGTTTTTATCAAATATGAAGAAAATCTATCGGTTATTGTTGAAATGCGAGCTATTTAAAAAATGGTGATGGATGAGCCAACTTTGTAACTTGACCTCATGTCATTTTGAGGTCAAGGAGTACGGGTAGGGCCTAGCGCTTCAGGATGACCCAAAAGCATACCCCGGGGATTGTCCATGCGAAGTTTGACCGCCGTGGGCCTACTGGTTGCTTCACAATCGAGGGAGAAAGTTGGCAAGTTTTGTCAAAAAAGGTAGTGCTTTCCCCCATACCATTAGACGGAGGGGGACGTGGAAATTTTAAAAACTGTCTAAATCGAATAGTTCGGACCCGCTGAGCAGGTTTTTGAGCTAAAACAGCAGAAAATAAAATATGATCTTTTTTACCGGCGATAGCTGATGGAAATCGTCAGGTACATCCCGAAGACTTGCAGGCATTCTCGAATTTCGGAGTGGGATATTGATTCACGCATCCGGCCCGAGTCAAAAATTGTCCAAACTTGCATGTAATTACAAGTCCATTCGATTCTCTGCAAATATTATTCATCTGCTCGCAGAAACCTAGGATAGTCCCACACAAATCGAATTTTAGGTACATACATTCTTAAAAATATTTAATATATGAAGAGTATGTAGATGCATGACAAATTTTGTATTTACGTGGCGTAACATGTGTGTTTTGATTTTATATTGTGACTAGCAACGTTCCCTTTTTGTGTACATATCAATATATTCCAGTTGCACTCTTGAAAAATGTTCATCTCGCCGTGCGTTTTTTGCAATATGAAAATTTTAATGTAGTTAAAAAAATCGATAATTCTTAGATTTACAAAGTTAGGAGGTTAGAACTTCGATTTTTGTCTTCCATGAGAAAATAAGTATAAAATTGAATAAACATAATCAGTAAGTTTAAATATTTTCTGATAGGAGATAAGATTCGAAGTTCTAACCTCCTGAATAATTGTGGAAACCTAAAAATTATCGATTTTATCGATCAATAAATTTATTGATTATCAATCGATCAATATCAATCGATCGATTGATTATCAATCAATAAAATCTGCACATCATTTAAAAAAACCGCGGCGATGAATACATAGGTTTAAAAATCGGTATTTGAACACTTTAAATAAATTTGATTAAAATTTACTCGATCTTGAGTAAAACCGCCATTAACCACTTCAACCCTAGGAGACGAGTTTTTTCATACCTTTCACCCCTAGTAACCGGGAATTTTTACCTCCCTTGACCCTGAAATTTTTATCTACTGCATGACGTTAATTCCTGGGCCATGAATTAAAAAATGGTGTTCCCACCGGAATTATTCTGGACACTTTTTTGTGGAAATTGGTATGAATAACCTTTCAAGAAGGTATTTTGAGTTGTAGTTTGCATTTTTGAGTTGTGGCGAACCACCAATGTTTATAGCCGAAAATAGCCAACACGCCGAATTTTAAAAATGATTGTAATTGCATGAAAAGTTAAACAAGCATAGAGTAATACTTGCATAATAGTACGTAAACTCGCAAATATTGATTATAGCGCATAAAGCGCCTTAGGAGCCGATTTTGGGCGGGAAAACCAAAAATCCTTACAATGACTTTAAATAGACAGCAATGACAATGAATAATTATCCCGTGAGAGGAAATTGCTCGAACATAGACTATGGCGCATCTGGTGAATAGAAATCAATTTTAAGCGGGAAAATTAAATTCTACTAATTCCTGGCAATCTCTCAATTTTTAATTTTCCCGCCCAAAAGATATTTCAGCGGCACCCGGTACGTAATCATTAATTTTGACGTAGTTTACCCTACCGGCAAGATTATTTGTGGTATATAATTAAATCCATGCAATGATGCAATTCATCAAACTTTTAGTTTTCTCGCCCAAAACGCCCATTTGTGCTACATGCGAGCAAAACAATTTCTCTAATCTTATCGTAAAGCGTTGTTGAAATAAATCGGTGTCGAAATTTCCTTGCAAAAAACAGTTTTCACAACTCGGCGTCTTGGCTAGATATAGCCACTTGGCTATAAATTTATTTTGCATCCATTTCTAATATTATTTCCTAAGAGACAATTTATCTTCCCACCTAAAGGGCGGGTTGTTGACTCATAACTCTTGCTTTGCTTTGCTTGGAGAGGCAATGACCTAATTTTTTTCCGGATACGACACATAGTCGTAGGCCGGTGTGAACGGAAAATACGCCACATAGTCGTATCCGTTGTCAAGGGTCAATACGACACATCGTCGTATTCCGGTGCCAAGGGAACTTACGCCACATGGTCGTATTCGGTGTAAAGGTCAAATACGCCACATAGTAGTTATAGGGGCGAAGTACAACTATTGTGGAAAAGTTACCCCATGAAAGTTCAAATTTATCCAACTTTGAAAGATTTTTGCTCAACATTGAGTAAATTTTACCTTTGTCAGGGTAAGTTTTACGCAATAGTTGTGCTAGTGGAAATTTTACTCAACTTTATTTCCAGTGAATACATATATGGAAGTAGGGAAAGTTGAGCCACAACAATTCAACCTCAAAGCCAGCATGCTATGCCACCTTAAGTAAACGATGCATACTAATTACGTCTATAATTACCCTTACTCTAGATTATTTAGTACGAAATCTTTTAGTATTTATGTGTAGTGTGCTTATCATAAAATTCAGATGGCCATTGTCTCAAAGGGGGTAACATTAATTATTATCTATTAAAAGTTTTCGTACTCGAAATCCTTTAAATGATATGTACAAACCCTGCCTGAATGGCTACCGATAAAAAATAGAGCAAAGTTGTTGACCCACACATTTCCAAGCTAAAATCCTCACCAGTTTACATACATACTTTAGTCGACAAAATTTCCAATTCAAAAGGTTGATGTTTGATGAAATGACAGTATTCACTTTACCACCGTTTTTTATTAAGTGTATAAGAGACCTTACCAAATATTGAATGTACCTACATGCAGCGGAATTATTAATCGGTTATAAGATATCTATAATTTTCACCTGGTGGAACGGCGCGATTCTGCCAATATGGGAATAATGGAGGTGTCGCCATCGATGTGGACAATGGAGAACTAAAATAATTATTTAATTAACTGGAAGTGGAACTTATTATGAGTACATAAGGGTACTTTGGAACAATGTTTTAGCACGGATATTAATCTCAAATTAATTCACACCCCAGGGTAACACTTGTTCCAAGTTTTTTTTAACTGTGCATATTAAGTATCTATGTAACTAGACGACAATTGTACTTACCATCCGCCGTAAATAATAAAGGGCCAATTCTGTTGGCGAGGGGCCCGATTCGTCCCGCTCGCTTTTGACATAGACTGGGACTAAAAGGGCCCACAAAAATACTTTTAAAAACCGTATCCATGATATTTACGTTCTTTTTTTTAAATACTGACAGAAATATTCAAATAGTCTAAATTTATTTATATGTCGGAAAGCTTAGAAATATATTAAGTAATTAAGTAGCAAGGAGGCCACTCATTTATTTAATAAAGACATATCCGTCTTCTTATAACCACCCCAACGTACCACTAGCACCTCGTTGTCGGCCCCCTGCTGGCAAGGTGTAGATGAGTTGAGGTGCAATTTTACAAGAATCCCGCGGCTAAAATCAGCTGAAAATTTTCAAAAATCAAGTTTAAATGAGTTTTCCATTTTCATGACAAATTACACATGGGCAGTTCATTAATTATGTAACGCAAAGATAGACTTTTTTTCAGACCCTTCGCGTGTCACAGTAGGGTTATGTATGCAGTAATCCTAACCTGCGGAGTTTTTTGCTATAATTTCTGAGTTTTTTAAATTACAAATTTGGACAAGACGGCTGAGTTTAATTTTCTAAAATTTTCTAATGCCAGAAATTATTTTTTAATACTTAATTACTGATTTTAGCCTACCTACGTTCGTTTGAGTGACGTAATGCAGGACCTTGAGCCCCCCATCAAATCTGATCTAAGGACCCTCCCCCCCTCTTTAGCGTTAAACAATTTATTAACCGCCCCCAAACAGATAATTTATTACAAATATATATGTATGTAAATACATACACCTTTTAGTAAGTAAACTGGGAAAAATTATGACATTATTCCCAGGGTATTCCGACCTGGGTTTTAATGGGTTGGGTTTTATTGGGTTTTAATTGAGTTTTACCTTAAAACTACATTCTAAAAGTTAAATACATCTCCTATACGTTAGAAGACGTTATCTCAATTCATTCTAAAGCAGTTTATTTCATTACTATTCTAATATATGAAAATTCGGAACAATAATTGACTCCATCCTTTAGCATCACAGATTTCAAGTGTTATAAAACAAAAATAATGTCCGAATAGATACAAATTCCTAATTATTTTTGTTAAGTTATTACTTAAAACTAATAAAACCCATTTAAACCCAATAAAACCCATTAAAACCCATTAAAACCCAAATAAAACCCAATTAACATGGTAAAACCCATTAAAACCCATGGGTTTTATAATTTTTGATTAAAACCCTGGGTTTTTCCGAACCCTGATTATTCCATTTGTAATTATTATTATTTTGTAATAGGTGTGATTAATTTGAACGCTGCGAAACAATTTACATAAAAATAGCAAATATGTGCTCACCAGGGCAAGATTTCCTTTTTTGCTCTGCATAATAATTCCTTGATAAATATGTAGCACTTGATTTCGTTCTCGCTAACGAGTAACTAACGAGTGATGAAATATTGGTAGCTGCTCATTCCTTTTATACATACATATTTGCTAAAAAGTTGACTTGTACGTATAAAATTTTTAGCGCAGACATATGTACTGTATCAGTACATACAGGTATTTTATTTACATATGTAGGTGATCGGGATTAGTTTTAATTTACCGTCATCTTCCGAATTAATATAGTGTTCAGGTTGTAGGAAAAACATCGAGTTGCACTTTTTTTAATAATGTCGTGAAGATCAGGGTCACCCAATTCTTTGGCCCGTCTTGCATACCACTTTGTTGGGCCAGTTTTATAAGTAATACTTATTAAGTATACTAAAATTATCAAAAGTTGTGTGCTCACTGCATTTTTTTAAAATAAATAATTGCAAATTTAAAATATTTGATTGCTAAATAAAAAAAGTTCATTCTTTAAGTGCGTACTTGTAGAGGGGGCTGAGAAAGAAAACGCTTCGTAAATTAGGGGAATTTAATTCTTTAATTTTTTAATTTTGGGGCATATTGTTGTTTCCTCTACGCATGCAAACATGCATCTCTTTCACCTTAGGATTTTGAGATATTTTCTGTTGAGCATGGCATACAAATTTAATTTATGACCGATTAACACTACCTTAATATTTCAATCTCATGCTCTTTAAAGAGCATATGTATATGGCGAGACCTCCATCAAATAGTTACAAATTTTAGTTGGGATTTTCAAAATTTGTGTCGCGTGTGTGATGAGGGCCTTTATATCTTGTATTTTTTATGCGACACAGCAATATTGCCTTCTTCATGAGGAGCACTGTGTGTCAAAATGTGTAACGATTTTATGTAGATTTACTATCCTGTCTTGAAATATACATACATTGGCGTAAAATATGGCAAATTCAATTCTATACTAATCCTTCGGCCTGGAGGGTAATTTTAACAGCTTAAAATATGCACAGTACAATGCGTTCTTATAAAATGCGGCGTGACTGTAGCTTGTTTAATTAATTTTTTCCCAAAGATAAAATCTGTGCATAGGGTTTTTACGTGAATTTTCATATTTTATGACTGATTGGACATTTAGCATATTTCTCAAGTTTTCAAAAATTTTAGAAATGGCTGGTTCCCATTTATCCTCATTTGCAGCATGGGAGTGGGATGAGACAAACCGATGCCAAATATTGCTGCTAAAATTGTTTTAGCGATCTGAAACAATTTAAACTCAATTATATAATTATCTACATGGACAAAAAATTTTCATTTTTTTGTACATAATTTTAAGCGTATGTATTACCGTACCAACATTCTGTACGGTAATATGTACATTTTCTAAACAAAATTTGATAATCAAAACATTTACTCTCAGATACCGTCGTCAGGGAGGAAATTTCACTCTTCCGAAGGAAAAAAAGCTAATGGGCGTATTAAATTCGAGCAAAAATTTGGTGACCCACAATTTGTAGGCCATAAGTATGCGAATACGTAGCAAACAAATATGTAAATACGTATGTGACATAATGTATGTACTTGACAGAGGTAGAGATACACCGTTAGAAATCTGGTATAGCAAGGCAGACGTTGATTTCTTGATATTAGAGTTGTTACCGCTTGATATTAAAATTATACCGGTACGTACGAATCTCCCCGGAAATGATTAAACTTTAAGCTATTATTAAGTGGTACTACATACATACCATTTAAAATGAGTCACGCATATGTATACATATATGAATACGGCTAGGTATTATTTTATTATTGGATTTCTAAGCGTGTGCAGACAAACATAAACTTTTTTGTGAGGGTCTGATTATTCTAAGACTGGTTTGTAAGGTACCTCAAATACATAGTAAACTAGGCTGATGTGATTAAATCCATTGATTGGGACCAGAGCTGGCCAAATTACTTGGAAGTCAAATTACAAATTACAATTACAATCACAACATTTCTTCAATTACAATTACAAATTACAATTACTCAGGCAAACTCAATTACTAATTACAAATTACAATTACTTCTCTAAAAAAATTTCGCTTCAATAACAATTACAAATTACAAATTACGTAATTGAATTACATTACAAATTACAATTACATTTGAGATTTTTTAATGAATATTCATCATTTAATAGTCAAATAATTTCAATACTTGTCTACTATTAACAAAACAAGGTAAATGCATTTACAACAAAATTTCCACCTAGAAAAAATAATTTTCAACAGCAAATTTTGCAAGTACGACCATTTATCAGTATGTACATTGTTCAAAGTGAACAAGTATTGAAATTATTTGAATATTGCATGATGAATGTTCATTTTAAAAAATCTCAATTTTAATTAGTAATTTGTCTTATAACTCAATTGCGTAATTAGTAGCATTTACACACTTAATTTTCATGCATAAGGCCCTTATGCATGAAAATACACCCTATAATGAATTCTGATGTAAATAAAAAATTTGCGAATGCGAAAGAATGTTTATTTTAATTCAAAAAGTGAAAGGCAGGGAAATGTTCACGTATGAAAGTACGGCAAATTTAAGAAAAACGTTGAATTTTGATTTGTTCAACTCATGATAGATGGTGATTTAGTAATTGTAATTGAAGAAGTAATTGAATTACAATTACACCATGTTGAAATGTGCAATTACAAATTACAAATTATCAATTACATTTAGTTCAATTACAAATTACAATTACAATTATGTACATTTTTTGAATTAAGTAATTGAAATTACAAATTACAAATTACAAATTTGTAATTTGTAATTGTAATTGTAATTGTCAATTACTAATTTGGCCAGGTCTGATTGGGACTAGACTTGAGCATCATTTCGCTGCCCGACAAAAATTTACTAAATTTGTGCACCCGAGGGGGGGAAAATGCACAGTAAATTTGGAAAAGCAAAATTTGCCAGCCTTTTCTAGCCGTGTTTTTTCCTCCTTTATATTCAAATATCTTTGCCAAACCTGCGGATTGGCAGATAGCGTCGTTTGCATATTTCATAATAATTATATTTGTGATTGATTGACACCGGTTTGGTCTAAATCTGTGAGCATACGTTGGGAGCAGGCCCGAAGCTACCTAAGGGTTGGCAAACAGGGCAATTGCCCTGTGCGCCGGCTGGCCAAAGAACTTTATAAAGATTGGGTTTCTATAGTGTATGTAATAGTAATAATAATAATGTCCTCAATAAATGTCGTTATATTAAGGCTGCACCCATCCGAATTGACAAGTGTGTAATTAAGTTTAATTGTCAATGCTGACGAGTTTATAGAACAAATACCAATCGACCGATTTAATCATATTAAGCTCGTTGAGTGCTTATAAATTGTACTAAAACCGGTCTCACAATACTTAGCTAGACCTTAAAAACAGCAGACGTTTGTCTGAATCTCTACACTCTTAAAAATAAATGTTATCTCATTTGCAAAGTAAATTCACTCTGAATTCTAAGTATACTAAATATACTTTACAAAATGCAGGGTAACGTTAACTTAACAACGAGCATAGTTTATTCTGGATTTTGCACAGTTTCAGTGCCGCGACAAAGGTGGATTTGACTGGATAATGGTTTCCAGGCCGTACGGCCCGAAGGGCCGTACTGGGCCTAACCATACGCTAGATAAAATGGGGTTTTATGATAAAACTGTTGAAATCATTAAGTTTTGATGAAATTGTTAAGCTACTTAATTTATGCTACTTTCAATTGCATAGTGAGTTGATCTGAATCCATTCTAACCCTCTAGTTATTACAAATTCAAACTTTTTCTTAGACATTTAAGTCGTTTTACGTAGGGTTTGTTTTTCCATTCAAAACTCATTTTACCAGAAAAGGAGGGAAACAGTGATGAAGGTGGGAAAAAAGGCCAAGTGATGTGCAACCTCACATGCCTCTCGAAGAATAAAGTGAGGCCTAAGACCTCGCATTCCCTGAAAGCTGAAGGTCTTGACCTCACAATTTAAGCATAGGCCTCGGAAGCTATGGGCCTAAGTTCGATCAGCCTCTCCGTTTAGAAGTGAGGCCAACGACCTCACACGGCCTCACATCCGAAATCTTACGCCTTAGCTAGGCCGGTTTCGGCTTCTCTAGTTTCAAAATATAGGCCTCAGACCTCACTTACCTCGACGTCAAAATGTTTAAAAAGGCCGAGGCCTCAGGCCACAAAAACCCGAGGCTTCCCATCACTGTTTAGGCCAATGTATTTAGTCCTTGAAGAATCCATATTTTCCTACCTCAAATTTGGATCTTGGTGAATTCCGCCTAGTTTAACCTGATATCTTAATTTTAGCGTGTTTTTACTATTTTGTTACTTATGTATACTAAATCAAGTATGAACTTCGATTTTTAGAAATGTTAATTTTTGAAGATGTTTAAAATGTCAAACTCAAGCCGGTATTCTTTTAGTGAAGCAAATTCCTAGCAGAAAAAAAAGTATTAAAAATTGATCGGCCTGAGGTAGTTATCTCGGATTTTGACCTGACTAATTTTAAATTGTTCACGCTCAGAAATAAGCGGAACTACATTTTTGCGTTTTCCAGAATGCGAGTTTTCGCTTGTGGGGGAATTTTAAATAAAATTTCAGCCAAAATCAGCAGTTTTCAAGAGGCTCGAACTTTTCTAGTCGTTTCAAAATAGTTTTAGCTTTCAATGTTTTTTTGCATTTTTCTTAGGTGAGGCGAAAGCCGGAAAGCTGGGCCCCACGCAAAAAGCAAAAATGAATATACTCGATTGGGGCCCGGCGAAGCCTGAGTATGCGAATCCACTGACCACTGAAAAGGTCCCATAAATCTCACTCAGAAACGATGCATCGGAGCGAAAAATAAAAAGAGGCAAAATAGTTAGAGAATTCCGAAACCCAAGGTCACAAAATTTCGAAATTTGAAATTTTTTGGTTTTTCCATTACAAATCGAAGTTTGAAAACTTCAGAGGGCTGAAGTCAACGTAAAATTTAAACTTTCTTATTAGACATAGGAGTTTTTTGTATTGCTCATATTGAGATCTTGCTTTTTTATATTACA